GGGCCTTGCTGGTGCAGATCCTTGATACAGACTTGCATGAGACATTGTCGTGGGCTCTAGGCCTCCAGTTGGACTTGTGGAAGACATTGCCATGGCTCTAGGTCTTCTGCTGGACACATGCAGGGCATTACTGTGGGACCCAGGCCCTCAGCTGGATTCTTTGAGTTGCCAGTGTCTGAACAGATCTCCTGACCTCTTTTGTATTTGACTTTTTGGGTGAATATTATAAAATAGTCCTATAAATTATGTGTCCTGTATTAAACTGTTTCCCTTGCAAACCCTAACTACAACAAGGTGAGAATGAGCAGGACATGAAAAGATGCAGTATGTCATGCAGTACAGTGTGGATTTGTACCTACTGGTTCACAGGGCAATGAAAGGTTTTTAAAAGAGTCACAGGAGAAGATTTGTGATTCTGAAAACTCACCCTGGTCAGCAAATAGAACAATAAGGAATGAGAAGTAAGAGATAGAGTGAGGGAGGAGAGGTTAGGCAAAAACAGGAGCTATGGGAAGGAAAGAACATTCTCCCCTTTATTAACCAACCATCTTTCACATATATCTACTGGAGATGGTGGTAAAGTATAAACCTAGATCATGTAGGTTTGCCCACTTTAACAATCCTGAAGACAAAAGCCACAGTCCTAGGGACTATCCATGCTTCAGTTTTCTGACTACCTCTGCAGGATTCTCTCTGACTACCCACTCCACACCCTAATTCACTGCTCTGCTTCAATTCCACTGCCTGGCTCAAGCTACATGCTTTTGTCCAGCAATCTTCTGTGCATATTCTGAAGACTCACTTCTTGCACTGTGAAGGAAAGACAAACAGCCATGACACTGAGGAGATGGTCTATTCCATGGGCCAGATTTTCGCCTGGTGGACAGAGGGCCTGGCAATTACAGTGAGGCCACAATATTCTCCTGTTGGACACAAACAATCATGCAGAACACCAACACAAGGGCACTCTACAACAGTGATAAAGTGACACAAAACAGGGGTACTTCATAGCCTTGTCTAAGTACAGATAAAAACAAGGTCACTCTGCTGCCCACAAAATACTAAACACCCCTCTCTCCCAGCTGATGAGTGATTGTGGCTTCTTTATGATTTAGCTTCAGTCCCACTCTAGTCAAACCTCCTTCTAGAAAAGACTGAGAGGGTTCCCCCACCAAGACTGGGTGCTGCATCCTCTTGGCCAGGTGTAGGTTTGGTGGATTCCAAGCAGAGTAGAAAGCAGAGCAGAGACACTATGTGATGGGCATAATCAAGTGGGGTGTCTGTTATGGCTTAGGAGCCCCCCCAAAGCCTCACACAGTCAAGTAGCTGAATCTAGCACTCGCGATTGGTTTGCTGTCTAGTGCTGGGATTGGAGGCGTGAATGCTGCACCCACACAGGGGCAGGTAGCTGGCACACAATATAGGGAAGGGAAGAAGGCATGCTTTTCCTCTTTTGCCCTTATGCTCTTGTCACTTGCAGCTGCCAAGAATGGCTGCCCCTCAGCCACGCCTACCCTGCCTTGGAGCCAGCTGAGTAGAGTCTGAAATCTCCAAAAACTGTAAGCTAAATAAATCTTTCCTTGCTTCACTTTGGGCATCAGGTATTTTGCCTTAAGAAGAAAAAGTAACGAAGACATTAAGTCTCTCTTGTGTTATTGTAACAAAATACCTGTGGCTCAATACATTATAAAGTAAAAGAGTTCACTTACCTTTCAAATCGGATAGTTGTAAAAGTTAAAATAGCAAGTGCCAATTTGGGAAATGCCATCAGGTGCATCAGAATATGGAAGAGAAGCTTATGGGAGAGGGCATGTATAAAAGAAAGCAAGGAGAGGTGTCTTGTCAACACCAACCAGTCTCACAATAACCAGTTAAGTCCCGAAGGAGCAAAACTCTCTACCTCAATAAATGCATTAATCCCTCCTGTTGGGCATGATAGTACAAGCATATAATCGCAGCACTCAGGAGGCTGAGGCAGGAAGCTCATCCCAAGTTTAAGGCCAGCCTGAACTTCATAGCAAAACTCTGCCTCAAACAAACAACAAAAAGAAGCAAACAAAAAGAAATGCATTAATCCCTTTTAAAGGCCTAACGCTTCTCAAAGGCACCACCTCTGAACACCAACACATTGGGGCCCAACCTCCATGTGAGTTTTGGTGGAGACAAGCCATCTTCAGTCCACAGCAGGGGGTGAGTCAAGTCAGCTACCACAGCCAGAGATCAACTGATACTTACTGCAGCACATCAATTAGTAATCACAAACCTAATGTATCCAATTAGAAAGGTTCTGGTAACAGGAGTTGATGACCACGACAATGACAGTAACAACAAACAGTAAACAAATACTGCTGGAAACAGTCTTCGTTAAATCTTCATCACAACTCTAAGACGGCTTCACCACTGTCCCTGAAGAGCTCTGTACCAAAGTAAAGAGCAACAAAAACAGAAGTAATAGGGCTGTTGGTTCCCAGGGAAGCTGACTGGCTTTTTTAAAAGTTATTTTAGGGATTTTATAGTTTAACTCAGGGTGGCAGGAACCAGCCAGACCCATGGCTCCTATATATTTAGTGACTGACTTCCAACTGGAGGAAAATCAAGACTAGTAATTTATTCAGGGCTTGTGTTAGGAGCTTTGTGTCAACTGTCTCATTTAATCTTCATATCTAAAAGGTGGTTTATCCTTCTTAGCCCCATTTTAAAGATAAGAATATGGAGGCAAATAAAGTAATTTGCCCGTCATTCCTGCAAAGTGGTAGTATCATGGCTGTGAACAAGATTTAAGTGTTTAACGTGTCAAAGTGAACATGTTGAACACAATACCATGGAAACTGAAAGACTGAATATGAAGTGTTAAGACCTTAATTAATGCATTTCTTTTTGCTTTTTTAGAGACAGCCTCTTGCTGTACAGTTCATTTTCTAAAACTTTACTTATGGATTCTATTCCGTTCTCATGTCTTTTCAAAGGAAATCCCAATATAAAAACGCTTTGATGAAATGCACACAGATGGCAAACACCTGTGGTCTTTATAACCCAGGACTTATCTGAGAATTTTGATTCAGAAGCCTAAAGTAGGCTCTGAAAATCTGTATTAAAAAAAAAAAAAAGGCCCCATAGGCTATGCAGATGTGCGGTTTGGTTGGGAACTGCTCAACAGTCTAAGCAATTCCAAATCCACCTTCCCCTATGCTGTCTAGCATTTTGAAGATGCAGAGAGCATCAGAGAACTGTGGCAGAGGAGATGAAATTATAAAAACTATCCAACAGAGATCATGAAAAGGCATGCTCTAGTTATACTTACTTCTCTGTTCTTTGTGTCTTAACTATTTTATAGTCATTGACTCCTTTGAAGCAAGTTTGAAAAAATTACCAAGATTTGTTAAATTATCCTGACCCTAACGGCTGTGAAAATAACTCAGTACAAATTTTCTTAGCATGTGAGCACTCCATATGAGAAAAATATATTTCTGATTTAACAGTGCCATACATGCTATCAACAGCAATTGAAAGCCGCAGAACTAAGGGCAAATGTAACCCCTTTAAATTCACACATCTCACTGGAGACTGCCTCTAAGCCTTTACTACTCATGTGTGTCTTTAATCAACCACCACTAATGTGTACTACTTATCAATCACTGCTCTAAGCTGGTGCACACCTGTGACCCCAGCACCTTGGGAGGCAGGAGCTGTGATTCAAGCTCACCTTGGGCAACGAAATGAGGAGGTGCTGGGTTCAATCACCAGTACCACAAAAACTAATCACTTAATTACTGTTGAATTGTCAAACCCACATAGGAAACAGGCATTTTCCCTATTTTACAGATCAGAAAACTGAAGAACAGACTGGGTTAGGAACTTGTCTTTTTACAAAGCTATTAAGTGGAAAGAAGTAGTTGGAAAGCCGAGGCAGGACTGTCACAAGTCTGAGGCCGGCAGAGGCTACATACTGGGTACAAGGCCACCCTGAAGTATATAGGTAGATCACCTCCAAACAACAACAAAAAGATAAACAAATGACTAAGGTCCAGGTGGACAAAGTCAGACTCCACAGCTTATATTCTGAATCACCGTGCTTAGCCTCCAAGAACCTACCAAAAGTGGAAGGTTTCAACCAGAACTTTGGTGTTCCCCACTGTACGATCCCTTCCTAGTCCCCTTCTGGCCCCATCATACTTCTGCCATTTTCAGGGCATTCTTTCAGTTGCTCTTAACAGTCCCCACCCGTCCCTTGCTGTGTCTTGATATTCCTACAACCTCGATTTTAAAAGGCTTTTCTTCTGGGCTTAAACACCACTATCTAATTTTAATGGCGTGCTGGGTCTCCCAGATCATAACACAAAATTCTAATTATGTATTTCACAGGTAACTATTGGTTTGCTGTCTTCCCCAGTCAGACTGTAGTTCCAGGATATCCCACATCATATCTGTTCTGAACACCACGCAGTATTCCCAATTACCGCACAAAAACTCCCAATAAATTTACTGAACGAATGTGTAGAGGTTATACAAGCTTTATGGTTTCTTTCTCTGAGGCATACTTGCACAGGCCATGCCCCACAGCCACCACCACTACCAGCCTCCGTGTGGTACTGGCTTTGTAAATAAACACTATGTAGCCTGGATAGGTAATCTTCCTTATGGGCCTGAGTTTCAGGTGCACACTGGGGATCATGACACCCCAGTAGAATTTAAGCTAAGAAGGGGAGGAAATCTGCATTTCTCATTACCCATCAAAGCTGTGGTTAGCATCTGCAACGCGTCTATCTTTCCACCAAGACTTCAACTCCAAGGTCTATGCTTCCCATTCAGAGTCCCGCAGACTCTCACATGCCAAACACATAGCACAGATCAAAGATTATTACTTAAATAAATGAACCCCTGCTCAGTGCCCTTCACAGGTGTGAAGGGAAAATCGCTGGAATGGGTGTGGCATTCCTTTCAGGTGTCCAAGAATATCCCTCGGACACAAGCCCGCCCCTACTCCCGCGCCCGAAAGGCACCTCTTGCAAACAGAAGCATCTTCACAAGTGCCGCGCACCCCCTCGTCGTCCGCGTTGCTGCCGGACGAGGAAGATGCGAAAGGGGACGACTCTCTCCGGTTAGCGGCCATGGGCGTGGAGATTTCCGGATGCTGTACTCAACAGGGACACGGGAATGGGGTCGACAGGTCGAGGGGAATCGAGTAAGCAACACAGACAAGCCGGGGCCAAAGGGGCTGGACACCACCTGGCTCAGCTGGCGCTGCTAAGTAACACCGCCCCGGGGCTCCCGCTGCAACCTTCCGGCTGATCCGCGCCTCGGTGTGAAGCTTATTGGGCAATTTTTCCGCCCCCTTCGATAATGGAGCTGTTCATTGGGGGGCTGCTTTAGCTCCGCCCCTACAACCCGGATGTTTGCAGAGGGCAAGGAAACTGAAAATGACCTGGGACTAACGCAATGCTTTACGGGAAATGTAGTCTTAGACACTTAGGGAGACATTCTGATTTCTTATCTCTGGCCATGAAATTGTATAGATATTCTAAAATTATAATATTATAATTAATTGAATCAGACCGAAGAGCTAACATCAGGCTGTTTAGCACTGGGGGAAAAGATGTGAGTTATTAAATTTCAGTTGAGCCTCAGGGTTATTCAATTTAACAAATTTCAGGAGAGCTGACATTTGTTAGGTCCTGTTCTAAGGACTTCATTCATAAAATCACCTTTGAAGTGTTGTGAAGACGGTACTATTTAGAACCAGTATGGTGAAAAATGCAAAACAATGTAAAAGAATTGAAGGTACCAAGTGAAAGCAACAATGGCTGAATTTCAGAAATAAGGAATTTCAGTGACAGAAAGACATTTACCAATTTATAAAATTCAAACCAAGCAATACTAGTGTTGTTTAGAGAAATACATGTATGTGCTGAAATATTGTACAGAAAAGCAAAGGAATGAGGAGGTAAAAAGAGGAATCGGGATACTGGTGACCAATAAGAATGGGTCGCAGGGAGCTAGGAAATAAATTCATAGACACTTCTTCAATTTCTCAAGTGCAAGTGGTTTTGCACATGTTTGTTTCATTAATATTCATAATAATATACTCAAAATGGTCATCACAGATATTTTATACTGGATTTATTGTAAAGCCTTTGCTAAATTAAAAAGTATATTTGTATGTTTTGTTTTATCTGTCCTGTGTTGGGAGTAGGTAAGGATTATACTCAAACTTCAAGAATTATGAATTGTTCCCACTTTTTAAAAAAGTAAAATCATTCTTGGTCTGTAGTGCAAGTTCAAACCCCAGCACTGTAAAATCAAACCAAACCAAACCAAATACAGTAGTCCGTGGGCCTCTAATTCCAGCTGACTGGGAGGCTGAAACAACAGAATCACTTGAACCAACAAGAGTTGAAACAAAAAAAAAAGAGTTGAAGGCCAGCATGGGCAACATAACAATTCTATCTCAAAAATATTTAAAAGAAACCCAGGACACACATCTTGGGGCATGTTAAGATATGCCATTCTTCCTTAGAATCCCATTAAGGGACAAGTGTGCATTGATATCCGAGATAGAAATGACTGTGGGAAAATTTAACAACAAAAAATGAGTGTGGGATCAGAATGTAAATGGGTTAATAGTAGAGTGATTTCCCAGCCTATGAAAAGGGAAGTGGGAATTAGCCGCCAAAAAGGGAACTTTCTTTTAAATTCTGTGCAACTTGTACTTTTATATTGTTCACCATTCTTTTTACATGGGGATTGTGCAGTCACATGTTTTATAATTTTTGAATGGTAACACAAGTTAATGTTTTACACACTTCTCATAAAAACCAAAAGCATTACAAACACTGCTCAAGGTACCTTTGATCACAGCCTCCTATCCCATCCACACCCTCACAAGAAGCCACTACACTCCATATAAGCACTTTTTATAATGAAATCATTATGAATATTATATGAAATTTAAAGAGATTAAAACTGAAAACAAATGTGAGCTTTTCTTCAAAAGGCCATTTTGCAATAAAGTACACACACAGGGGCTTGGTTTCTAACCTGAAAATCTTCTGTTCCAATTCTAGCACTTGCCAAGTGACATTAGCAACTGAATGTAAGTAGACAAACTATCTGAAGCAGCAGTTGAAAGAGGATGCCCAGCCCCTCTAGGTTCATGTCCAATTGGGTTAATAAAGGACATAAGTGCATAACAGAAACTCAACATCTTCTCCTGTCGAATATGGATGCTGGGAACTTCAGCAAACTTTGTGGTGATAGAGACCACTACAAAGAAGCTCTGACCAGTATTTAAAATTAACTAATTGCTTTTCTGTTTATCTGTGAGTCTGTCCTAGGCCTATGCTCCTGTCTGGAGATGGACAGTGGATTCATAGTAAATGAACCTCTATGAATCACTGGTCCTGTGATGGCCTGTGGTGCCAGAGTTGTCTCAAAGGGCAAGATAAAGCCACAGCCGAGGACACCTGGCTCCAACACCAATTAAGTAGATAGACTGAGACTACAGCTACAGGCATCTCATTCTTGCTGTCTCATACCCACCATAAATGTCATCATGGAGATAAGACAGTTCTAAATTGGTATAATTTACTACTTGGAGAAGCCCTTGAAATGATTCCCAAGGTCCTGCTCAGTTCCTGCACTTTCCTCAGTATCCCCTTTCTTTGAAAAACTTAATAAATACAGGCCACACAGAGAAGCTCTTTGTCTCAGCCCCCATAGTCCCAAACTCTGCAAGAGGGTTTTGACCCTCCTGGAGACCTAAAATCATAGTGTCTCATTTATTTAAGCCTTCACCATACACTTGTTTGGGAGATTGGGAATCTTGGCCAGGTCCCGATATTGTGGTATCTTTTTAGATAGTTTCTTTTTTCCTGGAGAATCCAGAAGCTTCTTATCACAAGGGAAAAGGATTGTTGGTAGAATGAACGAATGAGATTCTATTTGTAGAAAGTGAAGAAAATGTCTGAAGAACTCTTAAGCCGAGATTGCTGGTTAGACTTCAGAGGTGTACGAATCCTCCTCTATGCCACCTGCCATCCACCTGGTAGCATCACCTTGGTCTTCATGAAACAATTGCTCTATTTTCTCCTTGTGAAACCCACTGTACAGCCCATCAATCATAAGGATTCCTATTCCTTTCACACTGTGGTGTTTGAAGGTACCCAAGGGTAGGGAACCACCGAGGTGACTCTCCTTGACTCTCTTGGAAAAGAAGAGCACCTATCTCCATTTTGGATAAGCTGGCCCTATCTCCATGTATTGATATGTACAGAGCTGGCTAGGCTATTTCTTTGTCCCTTCAATTGGCTTTAAGCAATGTGAATTGAGCTGGCTGATGAGCTGATGTGTAATCTCTGAAGCAAAGCGACAGGTTAGTGTTACGTCACTGAGTGACTCCCCAAATATGTGGGTGGGATGGAGAGCTATGCTCTATGCTGTCACTGGGACCAAGCTTCAAGAAAGAGGCTATGACTTTCCAACACAAAAAGGACTGTACATCCGAACTGAAGCACTGACCCCAAATTATTAGGTACTACCTTGGTTTATGCAGATTACTCTTTCTGTATTTCTTGCTCTCCACATATCGCAGAGGTGAGCTCAAACCTCCTACTTAGCCCAGCTTATGGCAGTCACATATTTCCCACCACTTTCACTGTCACTCATTCCCAAGTGACTCCCTTTCATGGAGAATGAGTAGAACCTGGGAAGGGCTCTGGGTCAAGGCCTTTGTCCCAGTGAATTACCATCTTAGCTGGATTTAGAACCTCTTGGCTCCCCACAACTGTATATACATCTTAGTGTCTTTCTTCTCCCATGGATTGCACTAGAAGTGGTGGATTGGAATTAACTCACTAGAATTCCAATAACTTCTTGGGATTACAATTATAAACCTACCTCAATCACAACAGGACAGGAAAGGGTTCTCTACATCCAAGGAAGAGGGTTCTCATTAAGACTTTGCTTTTCCTTCTGTGCTATGTGCGAAGATCGTTAGTTGGTGTTTTGCTTTGTTTTGTTTTGTGTTTGGTACATCACTTAGCACTTCCTGCCAGACCTCATTTTAGTTTCTTTTTTTAATAGTAGCCAGGTTTTATTTTTATTAAAGGTAGGAAAAGAAACATGCTCCGTACCATGAGTTTGGGCCAAGTAAAAGTAAAAAAAAAAGTATTCTACAGCACCCTATAACATCAAACAAGAGAGAACACAGTGGCCCCTTATTTTGCTTTTGAAGCTTATCAATGTGTTCTTCCTTCATATTCAGGTCAAATATACTGAGTTGGATCTTGCGGTCTTCCTGCCTCAGTCTCTGAGTGCTGATATTACAGAGAATATAATTAACCACTTTGGCTTTGAAGGCAAGGTGTTTTCCCTTTAACAACTGAAAAACATCTTGTTTCTCTTTTGGCTGTTTAATTACTGAATTCATTTGTTCATGTTCTCTTTGTAGTTCTGAGGTGGTAGCAATCAAATCAGACATTCTCTGGTTATCTTCTGAAGGGCCCCAAGTGATTATATCCTTTTCCTGTGGTGATTTTCTGAGCTCTTCAATGTCTTGTTGGAACAGGAATTTGGAAGCTTCTGTCAGTATACCAGATTTCCTTGCCTTAAGAAATTCCACTGACAATGAAGAACATCATAAGTCTATGGAAAGCTAGGGTAAAATATTGAGCTGTCCCAAGAGTCTGTGGTTGGTATTACAGAGCCTCTGTATGGTGTTCTTCAGTCAATTACTGCACCAAAGTCTTGAATTTGGTTTTATTCCCTTTATAATTTTGTATCAGACTAGAACAGGTCATCTTAGGTTCAAATTATGAGCAATGTCAGTTAAAAATCTGTCTGAACCTGCAGAAGTTCTTGGAATTGGACTCAATGCTGTGTACTTGGTACCTGCTATTTCCACTCTTACATTTTCGTAACTTACTGTTTTCATTTACTGTGTTTCTCTAAAATTACCTTCACATAGGTCCCATGAACACTTCTAAGTGTTGGATGTTTGTAAAATTTCCAGTAAAATCTGACACTCTTTACTCAGTACATCTATTTTCATGTCTTTCTCCCCAGTGAGATATGATGATCAATTCTTCATCGTTTTTCTAAACATATCCAGACCACTGCTTTCCAGTCTCCTGAGAAACTGTTCCTTTTCACCCTACAATTTGACTAGGACTACTTCTTTGGCTTTAACATCTGTCATTCGATGATACTGTGTTTTAGACTGTTATTTTCCCTGATTTCTCATTATCAACAACTAACATTTGTATTTTTACCAGAGCAACATGCTTGCAGTTACCACTGAATGTGAGCGTGAGCGTGTCCTGGGTGTGATCATGTTAATATAATATGAAGGTCCTGTATCTCTAACTTCTGTGCTGGAAGATCTGAGTTAGTTTATCAAGCTCCTCTGTGGATGATAGCTGATCAATCAGTTTAATGAAAGACATATTCTTTTCATTTAGAAACTGAGTCTGCAATTTGAACAACTGAATTCTTGTTCTTTTTTTTACTAATCTTTTTATTTTAGCATAAGATAAATCATGCTTTTCACTTCCTTTTTCTATACCCAGACAACTGAACTTTTTTTATTTGAACAACATCAGCCTCTGAATCTTTTCGTCCTGTACCTGGGTTTTGATTTGTTCTATTATGTTTTGCAAATTCTCAATTTCCTCATCTTTCCCTGAAATTAGCTGGAAATGTGATCATTATTTGTTCATACTAGTATTTTTCTTGAAACAGGGTTTTCCTTTGTAGTTGAAGTTGTTCTTGAACTCAGTAATAGCCCAGGCTGTTTCTCCCTCAGTCATTTCAGTTCTTGGATATGATTTCCACCTTTCTTGTCTATGCTTTGCTGTAAAATTTCATTTTCTTAAGGGATGAATATTTCTATCAAATCCCACTAGAAGCTCTGAACTTTGCCTAAGTTTTTAAATTCTTCCCTCTCTGTCACAATATCATTTTCCCTCATCACATAAGACTGTAATTTTAAGACTTACATTCAATTATCTGTTTCTCTTTTATATGGATCACTTCTTGTCCTATCTGTGTGACAAGAAGCCATTGTCTGTCATTTTCTCTCTCTCTCTCTTTTTTTTTTTTTTTTTTTGGTACTGGAGATGGAACTCACTTTCAACCTCATCATGCTTGCCAGACAGGTGCTTATGCCACTGAGCATCCCTGGACCTTGTCTGTCATTTTCTATAAAATATAATTGTTTAGGTCTTTAACTCTGTTTCCAAGTTCATTTTTTTATAGATTCTACTTTTTATTTTTTCAATTTGTAGAACTTGAGTAGATTTTATAGCTTTTGAATTTTAGAAAGAACTACAACTGAAATTTATGAACCACTTTGCTGTGAGATTTTTCTAACTCTCAGATCTTTCTTCATAGTCACTTTTAGTCACTTTCCTCATCACTGTGATGACATAGCCAATACCTGCATCTTCAAGGAAGAGAGGTTTACGTGGCTCATGGTCTCAGTCCTTGGCTGTCTCCAAGGCAGAGATGGCATGGTAGAGGGGCATAGAAGAAGAAAGCTGCTTATAAACAGGGTTGTAGTGGCACATGCTTGTAATCTCAGTAGGATCGCTGTGAGTTGAGTTCAAGGCCAGCCTAGACTACATAGTAAGACCTTGTTTCATACAATCAAACAAATCAACAATCAACTCCCCCTAACTTCCCAACTGTTTATGGTTTATGTCATGGCAGCCAAGAAGCAGAGAGAGAGACAAAGAGAGAGAGAGACAGAGAGACAGAGAGACGGAGAGAGAGAGAGAGAGAGAGAGAGAGAGAGATCAGCCCCCAGTGACCACCTCCAAACAGTTCCCACCTGCTAAGATTTAGCAAGTCAGTATGAATTATTGCTGACTGATGAGTATAGAGTCACCACGTACCAGTCACCTTTCTAACCCATGAGGTTTTGAGGGACACCTCATGACTGAATTCTATCAATTTCTATTTCTATAACTCTGAAATTTCTTTCTTTTTTTTCTTTGTGGTCTTTTTTGAGGCAGCGTTTCGCTGTATGGTTTAGGCTGGACTTGAATGCACTATGTAGCCTTAGCCTCCTGAGTGCTGGGATTGCAGATATGTGCCACTGCATCTGCCTAATTCAGATGTTTTAAAACTGATGGTCAACAATCTCTTAACTTCTGTTCAAATTCCTTCATGGTCTTTTGCAGTTAGTAAATATCATTTTTATCTACTAGCACTAGTTGTTGCTTATAGTCTGAGCAGTATGTCTCCAAAGGTCAGCTTCAGACTCAAGTATTTTTTGTCTTGCTTTTGAGACAAGCTCTTGCTATTGTGGTTCAGGGTGGCCTTGAATTCACTATGCAATCTAGAGTGGCCTGAAACTTATGATCTTCCTCCGCCTCTCAAGTGCTGGGATTACAGACACGCGCCACCATGTCAAGCTCTCACATTCAAGTATTAAAACTTCATCTTGACAATCTATTGCTTTCTTGTCGGGCCAAATTATGTCACTAAAATCCACATCACTGGTTTGGGAAGTTAATGTATGACTGATAGCACTACCAACTGAAGGTGATATAGTGGTCAATAGTGTACTGGTAGCTTCTTAATGTAGTGACCAAGGGCTTGATTGTAGTTTGTGAAAATGATCCTGAAGCCCTAGCTGCCTTGCTGTATCTTATTTGTGCTGCTTTCATTGGTGGATGATGTCCATTAGGTGCAGGTTGCACTCTGATCTGATGTTTGGAGTTTTTGTACTTACCTGTGGATCACTACAGAGGTTTTTAGGTCTTCTATCTCTGATCTGAAGATTTCCAGAATAACTTTCAGATCCTTTCTTCCTTAGATAACCCTTTCCCATTTTCTGTGCCCTTCATTGGCACACCTTTGGTCAAATTAGAGAGGTGGCATATGAGGGACACTGAAGCCCATTGGCCCCCAGGAAATGACCTAAGCTATAGATAAGGCCACCAAATCTTGTCTGTGTGTCACAGAACTGAATGGTCCAGTTGGAGAAGAGCCTCCAGCACCTTGGATGATTGTGTCAAGTGCCCTGGCCTGGGTGTATGTGCAGCTCAGAAGGAAAACACATGGTGGTGTTTTAGGTACGGGGGCTCAGAGGTCCACCAGGGCAGGGCTCTACCTGGAATGTGACTCACTAGAGTCAGTCTCCAGGGACCCTGTGCAGTGTGCATCCCTTTGACTTCTATCAGTTGAGATTGGTGCTTCTTTTTCTGCTGCAGTGACTTTCCTCATGGTGTCTGTCACATGGCTCCCACCAGAGCCATGCTAGCCATAAGACATCCCTCCAAAACTCCAGACTCCGAATACTAGCACAACGTAAAACAAATCCACATGGCCTTCCACATTTTTGAACTGAGACCGTACATTACCAATTTGTTTTGAAGATTATGTTGTTCATACTATAACTGTTTTTAAGTGACAGTAAAATGTACACGGTGAAACACATTCACTTAACAACTATAAATGGGTGCATTTGAACAAGTATCTACACCTGCATCTGCCATCAGTGCCCATGGACGAGTCTTGTCGGTTCTCAGACATCCTACACATGGTTTCTGTCATGTTTACACTTTGTGTAAGGACTCTTTCCACATGGGTCAGGGATCTCATCCTGGCAATGGCTTTAATATGTTCATGAAAGACCTATTATGAGGTGTCAGTCTCTGTCAAGATGCTACTGGGTGTGGAGTTGGTGGCTGGCACAGGTGGATTTGCTTACACGGATATCATCAAGAGGGTTGTTGGGTGGTCACCTGGGTTGGGGGCTGAGCTATGATGCCAGTGTCCAGGGCCTGAAAAGCCCTTAATGCAGCCTGACCAAGCTAGGCTGGACTCGACTCGACCCCTCTTGACTCAGCTAGGTTCATTCCACTTGTAGGGCTCTGCTTCACTCTCTTTGGTCCCAGCGTTCGGCTCCAACCCGGAGGCTTGGTCTTGCTGTTTGGCCTACTTGCATCTCTGTGATCGGTTCTTCTCGGTTCGGCTCGGCTGGGCTCGGCCCTTTGGCTCGGCTCCTCTCGGTTCGGGCGGGCTCGGCTCGGCTCGGCTCGGCTCGGCCCGGCCTAGGGGGCGGGCAGGCAGCGCCGCTGGAAGTGACGCGACGAGGGCGGGGCTGTCCAGAGTAGCCGCCACGGTCGCCGCCGCCTGGGCCGGGAAGCGATGTAGGAGCCGCCAGGCCGTTCCCCGCCCTGCCCGGCCGGAGCCCAGCGGGCCGCCACCACTGCCGCCATGAAGAAGCAATTCAATCGCATGAAGCAGCTGGCCAACCAGACCGTGGGCAGGCTAGTGCGCGGGCGGGCCTCGGGGGTCGCGCCCAGGGCGGGGGGCGGGACGGCTTCTCAGGCAGGAGGGGAGCCTGCGAACCCTTGCCGCGGCCCCACCCGAGCCCACCGGGGCCCCGGGCTGCGCCGCGCAGCGGCCTGGCGGGACCGCGGCAGCCCCAAGTCCCCGCTGTCGCTTTTTGGGGTCCCTGCGGCGCTTTGTCCCTGGCAGCATTGCCCCCCGGGTCTAGGTCGGTCTTATATGCTTTTCTCTGGGGTGAGCCAACCCAGGTTCATTGTCGGTACAAACACAGGGTCCCTTTGGTCCCTAACGCCGTGCAAGCATGAGGCTTTGGGAACGACTTTCCAGCCCTTCCCCGGTGACCTGCATTGGGAAGCCTTCCTGTAATTGTGCGCTGGCCCTAATGAACTGACCAGTGGAGTCTGCTTAACGAAGTAGAGAACTCCCTTTGAGGGAACTGAGAAGTGGGCTGATAGGAACTTGACTGCTGCTGCAAGTTCTTGACATTTAGAAATTAGGAGTCGGACGAAAAGATGTTGGAGACTCTTTGCGCCAATGAAAAACTAGTCTTTCCCATGTTGGAAGGGAAGACGAGTTCTTCTCCGTGTTGCCTTGGTATTGTTTTAATGCTCGACAGGAAATATCGATTTTTAAATGGAAGATTGTAGGTGTTGAACAGTAATGATTTGTGGTTTGAGAGCTTCTGTAGGTAATTGTCATGTGCTGTGTTATCTGGAGCAAATATTTCAAGGTCTTGCAGGGCAGATAGCTGTGCTGGACCAATTTACTGTTTATTCTCTAGAGATGTGAATTTTTCACAGCTCTTGCTTTTTTTTTTTTTTTTTTTTTAAACAGTGAAGGGGAGTTTGGTTTGGTCAAAGCACGTGAAAAGCTTCTTTTTGTGTATGTGTGAAAATACTTTTACTTCCTCTTGAGTTTTCTAAATTTGCCTTTTACGGTGTTTCGTTTCTCTAAGTTTCTTGCTTAGTTCTGTTTTATAATTTAAATTCCCCACCATGTTATGTTAGTATGCATTTTTCCTATTTCCAGAAATAATCTCAACCCTAAAGCTCATATGCCCATTCTTTTCTGTTATTACTGGGAAAATTAAAGTTTAGACATGAATAGTAGTGGGGAGTACTGTTTTAAGCAAGAAATATTATAAGCAAATTATCATCTCTTGATTTCTGTACATCCCATGGAGTTCTCAGCAAGATGCATTGCAGAATTAGAGTTCAGTGAGTTTCAAAGTACATTTATTAAATTGTCATTTCAATCTGTTTTTGCATTGTGTCAGGCAGGCATATTCTTTTTATGCAGAATTCCCTTTTTCTGTCTTGAAAGTTTTTTAGGAGCCCTTTGGTTCCTGCTTCCTCTTAGCTTCCCTTCCCACTGCTACATTCCAGCCATACTTCCCTGCTTTCAATTTCTAGAGTAGGCCGGCGTCTGTACCCTGAATCTCTTGGGTGCTTGTTTCGTCATACCTTCCCCGTAGCCACCCCCAGTCATTTTCAGGTCTCCCTGTGAAGTTCTCTGCTTCTGAAACATCCCTGATGTTCCAGTATAGAATGGATGATATGTGGAATTGTGGACATTGCCTACTTTTCTATAATCAAATTGTGACTTTCCTTGCCTGTGTTCTCCATTAGATTCCATACCCCGGGATTCCTTGGTTCTCAGGGTCTTTTGTGGTTACTCTCACATGGCAGATGATCAACCAATGTAATTCATTCCTGGATTGTAGTTCTTTTTAAATAGATTATCTGATGGTTTGGGCCCAAGCATGGGAAAATGTGAACAGGATAAAGTGGTGATTCACACTGGTGCTGTAATTCTGGGCCTAACCTTTGACTCTGTTTGAAAATCTTTATTGCCAGATGCCATGGAAGCTGCAACTATTACAGAGCTATTAAGGGTGTGGCAGTTGTGCATCCAAAGTCAGAACATCTGTTTTTATTGGGGAACCTGTGACTTTCTTGTTGTTCATTTCCTAGATATTTCTGTACTTTTTTCTGCTTAAGTAATCATAAAGGACTGGAAAGACAAAACAGAAGCAATCTAGAATTGTGGAAGCAGAAGGGTGGTGGGCGCCAGAAGTAGAATTCTGGGTATATTTGGCTCAAGATGAAAGCTTGAATTCCTGTGACTTGGCTGGAGAAAGTTATAGATAGGCGTGGCATAGCTACTGTGTGTTGGTTTGTCAGTTTATAGAGTTCTAGGTCTCTTTGCAGGGGATTCCGCAGGATAGAGACTTTGTGAGTAACTCTACTGTGGAGTGCCATGGGACCAACCCATGGAAAATTAGTAATCCCTGGAAAGAGCACATTCGAATGATGCAATTTGTTTTCAGTGGGTGGATGAATCTCTGAAAAAATGGGCAAGGTGCATGAGGTGGTCTTATGATGTGAATGCCACAAAGAAAAGAAATAAGATGGTTCATTTGTCTTCCCATCTTGTTGAGTCATACATTTCAACTGATGCAGTGATTGTTGAGCCCATACTGTGTGCCACTGTGCACGGTATTTCAGAATCAAAGGTGAATAGGACGCCGTTTCTGCCCTGAAGGTGCTCAGTAGATATGTAGAGGAGATAGGCAAGCCAAAAACAATAATGATGTCCATGAGGTAAATGTGCTTATAGAGTGATGACTAGTGCACAGAGGAAGGCCTGCAGTAACTGTTACTGGCTAGAGGGAGGTGAATAACACAAGTTTCTCATAGGAGAAGATATAAGCTGAGCCTTTTGATTTTCTTTTGTTTTTATACACTTTCAGATTTTTCTTTAAAGATTAGGTCTCAACGAGTGTGATGGCATTCTCCTGAAATTGCAGCGTTTGGGAGCTGAGGCAGGAGGATTGCTGCAGGTTCAAGGCCATCCTGGGCTACATAGCGAGTTCAAGGCCAGTCTCTACCACATGGATAGCAAGACTCTATCTCCAAAGATAGGCGGCAGGAAGAGGACACAAAGATGAGATCTCTTTTGGTTGTATGAAAACCCAATTCAAGATATTTGAGCAAAAAGAGGAATTCATTTACTCATTATGTGAGAAGGGTTCAGGATGGCTTTATATTTGGCTGAATCCAGGGGTTCTACTCTTTAGGCAGCCTGTGTGTCATGTTGGTTCTGTATCAATGTCATGTTCCGCGCCCCCGCCCCCCATTGTTCTCTGGACTGGTCCCAGAAGGAAAGAATACTTTGTGACTGTGGCCAGAGTCCCAGGATTGGCTGTCAATCTTTCTGGGTCACATGCCTTTTCCAGGAAGTGGAGTAGCATCAGCTCCACCCAAGCTATGTGGACTGAGTGGAGGAGTACAACTTCCCAGGTTAAACTGGGTGCTGATCAGGCAACCAAGAAACAGGCTATTGTGCTTTTTTTCACAGTTATGTTGCAAAGAGAAAAAGATGTTCTGATTCTTGAAAACTTTTTGATGCAGATAATCCAGTGAACACAAGACAGTGCTTTTGGGGAGGTGTTTCTTTGAATAAAAGAAGGAATATGCTGGGATGCAGGGCTTGAAGTTATGAGATACAAGTGTCAAGAAGGAGAGAAATTTGAGGGACATAACTGGAAAGGAGAAGTCCCTAGCTCTGGGAAGGAGTGCCACATTGGCTGTTTATTTCAGCAGAGATTAAAGTTTCTTCTAGAACCAGAGAGTTGCTTTCAGGTAAGTTACGATTGTAAAGGCAAATGCCTAGAGGGCCAGACCACTCAGTGTGGCCTGACCTCCCAAGTTTTCAAGGAAAGTCTGAATTGTGGATTTCAACAAATATTAGATGACTTTTTTTTTTTTGGTACCAGGAATTTCACTTTTGTTAGGCAGGCCACTGAGCTATATCCTCAGCCCTGGATGACTTTTAATTCAACTTAGACAACCAACCATGACTTTCAGATACTTTGAGGCCTGATGTGGTCATTGATTGTCAACCACTTACCTAAAATAAACAGTTACCTTGAAATAAACAGTTATTATTATTACTATTATTATTCTATTTTGACCTTCTTAACCGTGGTATTACTACATTCTCAGCTCTTTGGATTTGCTGACAAGCTCATCTTTTTACTGAAATCTGTAAGAGATCTGGTAATAATCATCAATGTTTCTATAATGTATTAAACAATCTGGGCTGGTTCTTACCTATAGGCCATTATTATGTCTACTATATAAAGAAGGAAGGACTTGGCCAAGTTTGTACAACTACTATGTGGTTGAAACAAGGACATGGATGCAAAGCCTTCTGACTCTCATGGCTTTTGTGACCAAGAACTGGGCTGCCTTTCACCAGGCAAGGCTTAATGTTGCTGACTGTTTATCAAACGTCTTTTGTGCTTATTAAGTTGCTGGGCTATGTACTCTGCAACAGCACCTCTCGGAAGTGTATTATTTATTGCTGATTTAATGAGGAAGAAGCCAGAGATCAAAAAGGATGTGGAGCTTGTAAATGACAGATAAGTGCATCCAGACTCAAGTTTTTGATTCTGAAGCAGCTATAAATCATTCATCTGGAGACTATCATGATAAACCCCTTCTTTGAGTTTTAGAAACTTTCATCAAATCCTGGAGGCTGTGAATTGGGTGTTAACAGGACTGTATTCCAACTACCATCAGCCCGAGTTGGTTTTTTCCCCAGGAGACCTTGTGCAGTGATGCTGAACCTTTCAGAGCTTTCAGTGTTATAAACAACTTGCTGTGGCACATGTTTCATAGGCTTACCACCCATGGTCTAAGATAGATAGATAATTTTCTTTTCATCCCTTGGCCTTGCCTGATCTCTTGGAGAGCTAATGACCATTTCTATAGTGGAGGACTCGCCAGTTTATAGGATAGTCCTATTCATTACTAGAAGCTCAGATTTTCACATTGAGTCCAAACATGTGACTGTGGATCTCAGAGTAGACCTTTCCATGAAACAGTCCATCCTGTCTCTGACCATCGCAGGAGACATACTCTTTCATTGCCAGCATTAACATTTTGCATCCCTCATCTACACCACTGTTTCT